CGCACACGCACACGCACACGCACACGCACACGCACACGCACACGCACGCACTCTACAGAGGTCCCGTAAAGGCTTCAGTTATTATGTAACAATAAAAGCCCATTGACAGGAGCTGAGAGAAGGTGTGATAGGTAAAAGCCAGCTGTGTAGACATAGGACCAGAGTTTGGATCTCCAGCACCTACATAAACGCTGTGCATGTATGATGGCCTCCTATGATCTCAGTGTGTAGGAGGCAGAAACAGACCTTGGTGGCACATGCTGGCTGGCTGGACCTGCTGAGCCAGCAAGCTCTAGTTCAAGCAAGAGACCCTGACTCAGTATATAAGGTGGGTAGCCATCAAGGAATGTAGCTGATGACCATCTTCGGCCTACACATGTGCGTACACACACATGTATATAGACCTAATACACACATGCACACACACACACATGTATATAGACCTAATATGCTCGTGCACACACACAGCACCCACAAATACATGCAGAAAAAGCCCACTTGGTTATGAGAATGCTCTGTTCTGAGAGTCAGATGCTCATCAAAACTCTGCTACTCACCAGCCTAACGTTTCTCCTTTCCATCTTTGTCCTCACAACAGCAGACAGTTGTCTATCCCTTCTCTTGTTTCCTTTCTCAAACTGCAATAAAAAGTGTCCTTGGGTTTTCATCTGAGTCCAATTCTGTATCCTTTTGTATCCGAGACTTAGAACCTATAATCAGGACCCTCTGTTTCCCCGTGACACTAATGCTTAGTTTTCTTTCTTTCTTTCTTTCTTTCTTTCTTCCTTTCTTTCTTTCTTTCTTTCTTTCTTTTCTTTCTTTTTTTGTTTTTTTTTTTTTGAGACAGGGTTTCTCTGTGTAGCCCTGGCTGTCCTGGAACTCACTCTGTAGACCAGGCTGGCCTCGAACTCAGAAATCTGCCTGCCTCTGCCTCCCAAGTGCTGGGATTAAAGGCGTGAGCCACCACCACCCGGCTTTTTTTTTAATGCTTAGTTTTCTTAAATGTCCATTTAGACTCTATCATTCTGGTTTAAGCATAAAAATACAACATAGAGATTCCTGTGGTTCTTCTGCAATTGGTCAGATTCAGGGATGTTGACTTCCTGTACAGAAACATGGACCAAAACAAGCGTGCCGGCTTTTCAAAAATTCTAAGCATTTGAGGTAGAGTGGAGGTGGGCTGATTGAAGGCCTGGAACATTCTAAGAGCAAGCTCTGTAGTCCTGAGCAACAGGCCCAGCCCGGTTAAGTTTCTTGTATTATGGAGCAATCTTCATTCTCTGGGGTTTTTTCTTAAATAGGCAACAGCGCTGGCATGCTGCCCTTCTTCCCCGTCGGCTGCTGTGGGGACAGTGGATGGCTATGTATACTTCCTGAACGTCATTGACGTGGAGTCCCCTCAGTTGATCCACCAGGCCTTCCTCTCCCAGTCACCGGTGAAGACACTCGTGTAAGCATCGCCCAAACTAGCCACGCTATCATCAGACATGTCTGTAGGGGGCGCAAGTGAAACACCCTTGCTTTTCAGTTCTACACATTTCCTGTATTTGGAACATTCACCCGGTTCAGCATTCAAAAAAGTAAGAAGGCAGGTGGGGATGGGGGGAGAGTCCCTCGCACACAGTTCCCTCCCAGGAACAGCCTATTACCAATTTCCAATGTCCCTTTTCAAAGACATTCTTATCCACAAATAAACACAATGACCTGTATTTTTGTTCGCTTGCTCGGTCTTCAAATACTGAGAGCAGGCTGAAGTGTGCTCTTGGTGAGGGTGCCCTGAAGCATGTGAAGGCCAGAGGTCAACCTTTGGTGTGTGTGTTTCCTAGGTTGCCATCCTCCTCGGTTTTGGGGTGTTTTGTTTTGTGTGGGGGGTGGGGGGGTGTGTCTCACTGGGCCTGGAACCCGCCGACTGGGCTAGGCGGTTGCCCGGTGATGGCGAGCGATCTTGTCTCCACCTCCCCAGCCCTGGGACCGCAGCACACATTTTTTTTGTTTTGTTTTCAGGCAGGTTCCCGGGTTCAAACTCAGGTCCTCATGCTTGAGGGAAAAGACCTTTAACAACTGAGCTAGCTCCCCAGCACCACTGGGGAATGTTCAGCATCCGTGTTAGATAGAGATGAGCCTCATTCTTCTGGATGGTAGCAAAATATCCCATAATATATACATTTCATCATCTTTCTCAAACAGTACATTGATGGACATTTAAATTGTCTCGAATCCTTGAAACAATATCCTCAAAGATTTACTACTATTTTGAACAGTATTATACAGAGTGATGAGTTTCGTGGCCATTATCATGCTGTTCTCATTCACCATCACCTCCCCACCCCACCCCGCCCCGTGCTCCGACCCCGCCCCCACCCCATGCTCCGTTCCCACCTCCTCCTTCATGCTCCCCTCTGTCGCTCCTACCCTTCCCATTCCACACCCCAGCCCCCCTCCTGTGCTGTGCTCTCGCCTACCTCGTGCTCCGCGTGCTCCGCCTACCTCGTGCTCCGCTTGCTCGGCTCGGCTCCTCTCATGCTCCTGTTTCCCCATTCTCTTTTTGCTGCCCCATAAGATACATTTTCTGCTTTCACATTTCATTTTCCTCTCTGTTTTTGCTCCCCTCCTTAAGATCTCTCTTCCCTCTTATGGCCCCTTCTAGTTTCTGACACACCCCCACCACCACACACACACAACACACACATCTAGAGATAAAATGTGCAGTATTTGTGAGCCAGATGCTGGTAGCCTGCACCTTTAATCCCAGTACCCTGGAGGCAGAGGCCGGTGGGTCTCTAAATTCAAGGTCAGCCTGGTCTACAGGATGAGTTCCAGGACAGCCAAGCTACACAGAGAAACTCTGTCTCCAAAAAAACAAAAAAAAAACAAAAAAAAAACAAAAAAAAAAAAGAAAAAGAAACAGATAGATTAGCAAACAAAGCAGTATTTGTCTTTTTTAGTCTGGCCTATTTAGTTTACCATGAGAGTTCCCAGTTCCAACCATTTTCTTAAAAATGGCATAATTTCATTTTTCTTTACAATTTTTCTCTCTTCCTCTTTTTCTTACTGAAAACAGTCTTTTTCAAACAATATATTCTTATTACAGTTTCCCCGCCCCCAACTCCTTTAAGAACTTCCAGCTTCCTTCCCATCAGAATCCACTCCCTTTCTGACTATGGTTAGAAAAACAAACAGCCATCTAAAAAATAATAAAGTAAGATAAAATAAAAATCAGAACTGGGCAAAACAAATAAAAGAAAAAGAGCCAAGAAGAAACACAAGAACTATACAGAGACTGAGTTACACACACATTCAAACACACACACACACACACACACACACAGGAATCCAATAAAACCACAAAAACCAAAGCCACAAAACATGTACAAAGGACCCGTAATGCAAAATAAAAGAATAAAGGATTTTTTAAAAATGCCCTGACTAAACATCAAGAGGCATAAAACTCCCCAAAGATGTCATTAAATTCTTTTTGTGTTGGCCATGTACTGCTGGACATGGATTCTACCCTTAGAGTAGTTTCTATCCCCAGGGAGATATTCATTTGCAAGTAATTACCGATTTGGAGATTGCTTCTGGGTTAGGGAGGGGTCACCTGCCCACTTACGTCAGCACTGGGACCCCCGTTTGGCACAGACCCATGCAGTCCCTGTGCATGCTGCCACTGTCTCTGTGAGTTTGTATGTGTGTGTGTCCGCCCTGCTGTGTTTCTTGGCCTCCTCCGTCCCCTCTGGCTTTTTCAATCCTTCCATCTCCCCTTCCCTAGGGTTCCCTGAGTCCTAAGGGGAGGAACTTTACCCCAGGCCAGTGTAGATGACAAAAATCTATTGTGATCAAGTCCCTACAGAACAGACTTGAGGGCTGAATTGCAACAACGAGCCAAAGTATATTAGAATATTTAAGCTTGCAAATCATAACCTGGGCCAAGTTATTATTGTATTTTTCCCACCAGTCAGGATAGGAGTTGGTTTCTGGGCCTGGGAACATGGATGTAGATTAACCCTGCCCATAAGATAGAGAAGCTATCTCTGAGATGGCTGGACTCACACAACTGTCTCCTCACATTACAACAAAATAGCCGTCTGTCTTTCCTGAGCGGTTTTTTTGATTGGCTGGCTGTTGGCTTTTGTTCTGTTTTGTTTTAGTGCTTAGGACTGAACCCTAGGCCTGTGTATGGTAGGCAAGCCCTCTACCACTGAGCTATATCTCCAACCCTCCTGTGGCTTCTTCGATTATGTATTTGTAAATTAAATTTGGGATAGCATTGGCTCAGAGGGGAATGACTACATCAACACGTAGATGTCCACTTTTATAAGGTCAGAGAATATTTTACATGATAAGCGATAGGGTTGGAGGTATAGCCTAACGGTAGATGGCCTACTTTGAGAGCACAGGATCCTAGCAGTACAACATAAGTGAATTCATAAATAAATGCCACCCACAGCAGAGTGGCTGGTTTTCAATGTGTGTCTGTGGTCGCACATCCAGCAAGCTCGCTCACCACCGAGCTGATAAAACGAAGCATAATGGACAACTTGGCTTTCCGCTCTTCCAGTTACGACCAGCGAGGAATTTTTCTGTTAGTCGGTACAGAAGAAGGAAACATCTTTGTCATCGACTCCAGACCCTCCAAGTCATTTCAGATTTTTGGATTCACTGGTATGATGCAGGATGTTTGTGAGTTTAAAATTTAGATCACTTTACGCCAAATAGTTGGAAGTTAACATTTTGAATTATATCAAAACAATTATGTAAGTTGTATTCTCCTGAAAAATGAAATTTTAGATAGGAGTGAAGTTTCTATATTATATTTAGAGAAATTGAGAGTATTTCGAGTTGTCTAGCATGTAACTGATGCTAAAAACGATACTTTGTATTAACTACAGAACTGGTGAAAGGTTTGAACATTTTGATGTTACAAGGGAGGAGGTTTATAAGTGTAATAGTTTTTAAAATTTTTGACCTCTGACCTCTGTTTAATAATTAATTTTCCCCATACCTTTAGTCCCAATAAATCCATTCATTTATTTATAAAAAAAATTACTAAGTACAATATGTTGAATATGGGCCTTGTAGGGGGTGAAAAGGTCAAGGAAACAATTCAGCGCTGTATAATTCCTCAGGTGAAGGGAAAGAGTGGGTGGAGGTGTCCCAGTGGAGGAGTGCCAAAGATGGAAGGAGACTGCATCCCAAGGGAAGTAACGGCTCAGAACATTTTCACATGTGCAGGGTAGGGCACATCAGCGCTACAACTCAAGGCTTCTTAGGTCTGACGTAAGACCTCAGTGGAAGATTTTGGCAAATAACCATGGCTTTCTGTCTTCTTGGGCCAACAGCTTCCATACTGCCAGTGACATAACCACTCACTAGGGCCAAAAAGCAGCCTGGTCTGTAAGATGGCTCTGATGTGGTAGAGCTGACAGCAGGAGAGGATGCATATGCTACTAGAATATTCCAGGTTCTAACTAATGAGGTTGGGCGTGGTTTGGTCTGCTGCTATGTATTGTAATGCTAAATTCTGCCCCGAGGGTCTAGGCCTACAAGAGAGTTCTCTTGGTTACCAGTTACCAGCTTTTGTTGTGCAAAACATGTTCCTTAATTTAAAACTATTAGTTAAATAAAAATGGCTACAGCCAATAACTAGAGGGACTAGAGATAGGTGGGTTTTTCAGTTACTTAGTTGATCGCGGCAGAAAGAAAGAGGAGAAGAGAGAGGAGAGGGCTACTTGAGAAGGGGGATACCGTGAGCATGCAGCAGGAGAAACAGCAGATATCTGGGGTACACCACTGGAGAGGTAGCCAGGCCAGCAGTTAGAAGCATAGAAGAGGGGTTACCTCCCAGTAATTGTCAAAGCCATATTTTTTAAAAAGCATAATCTGAGTCTCATTCATTTTTAATCTAGTCGGGGATAAGCTTTAAGTGGTTGTACCACAAGGTTGGCCTGCAGGTAGGAGAGGGAAAGCTGGGAATCCACAGGAATCCTCACCTCTCACTGAAACCACAGGCAGAGGCTGGAGCAGTGAAGAAAACCACAGATCTTCCGAGTAGCGAGGGGCCTGCGTCATCCCTTCCAGAAACAACTCAAGGAAGGCAGACTGGGTGAGAGTCCCAACAGGCAGGCGTAGGGCATGCTGGTCAGTTAGCAGGTGTCCCCTGAGAGACTAGGTCATGGAGGACACAGGTGCGAAAGCAGAGACAGTACACGCCAAGATGATGTGGGAAGCTCGGTGTGAGTGAAAGTGGGTGTGCGGCAGCTGTCCTGGGCAAAGAGTAGAAGGAAGGTCCCGGCCCCCTGCGGGAAGAAGAGAGAGCATCAAAGAGGATGCAAGGAGACAAAAGCGGTGGGTGACTGGAAGTGTGTCATCTCAATGGCTCAATGAGATGCAGATGGAAGCCCTGCATCCCACCAGTGCTGGGAAACGAAGGAGTAAACAGGAAAGGAACAAGGAAACATAGTAAGGTCCAGGATAAGGACATTTTCTGACATGGCCGCTGTCTCCCTTATTAAGCCAAGCCGCAGAGTGCCTTGGAGGTGGCAGAAAATGGCAGTCCTGTTCAGTGTTGGGTGAGAGGTAAATGCAGCATAGCAGTCAGTGAGCAGGACTTCCCACAGGTCAGACTCAGCATCAGAAGCATTTCCATTGCATTCGAAATGATGCCAAGAACATCAACGTCTGAGGTTACCCAGTGTAAGAGCCCTGGAACTGCCCGGTACCCAGATGGGAGTCAGACCATGAGCACACAGGGTACAGATGGGAGGAACAAAGATGTCTGGCTCCGGAAGGCATCCCTGTTGGAACATAGGCATGACTAAACCCACCTGGCTGGAAAATGAGGAATTTCCCCTATCGGTTTATCAAATAGTCCCTTAATTCCTGCTTACCGATCACTGTGAAAATCAGTCATAAAATTTGACTGCGATTGACAGGGTGAAGAAGTGTCTCCATTTTGACACACCAAAATACAACTTGGTGTGTGTGTGTGTGTGTGTGTGTGTGTGTGTTTTTAAAATATTCAATATAACAAAGAGTCATGGTGAGAATTGGGGAAAGTAATCTCTCTTCTCTCTTAGAATGATGCAGGATTCTTTAAATTCAGTCGGTAACCCCTTGTAAAGTCGGTCCCTATTCACTTTCAGAGACCGGCAAGGACATCCTGCAGATATCCACGGTGTCTGTTGTGGAATCAGACGTGGTCGAAGTCCTGATCTTGTCCCCGCTTCCAGAAATGGGAAGAAGCAGGATGGAATACTTCACTCTGCCTGTCATGTTACCACAAGGTGATGTAAAACGAGCAGCCCAGCCCCTTCTCCTTGGCCCAGATGAGTTGTTCTCGTCCATTTCCGGTTTCTTGGTAAAGCGGTTGTTCGCTGTGCAGCTTGCTCCATGCCTCAGGACTTAGGAATGTTTCTTTGTTTCCTTGTTTGTTTGTTTGTTTGTTTGCTTAAATATGAGAAAAGAAACAAGACCAGCTCCCATGCCAAGTTGATGTGTCGTTGTGTGACTGGTTTTGTTCTGTGGTTTTACATATTTACAGTTAAATTTAGATACTTTACAGTGTAGTTAACTAGAATTATAAAACAAGCTTGCTGGGTTCATTGACAGGCTGAGAGAAAACAGCTACTCTTTTTGTCTCAGGTGGCAGATTTATCTAGCTAGAAATTTTGAAAATACGGAATTATAGAACATAAGAAAAAAAAAGCCTCAAAGTATTTTTACGATGTGAAAATCTAAAAGGAAGAGGGGAGGGGGCATGGTGGCATGTGGCACAAGCCTTTAATTCACGCTGTTTGGAAGCAGGGAAGGCAGATCTCTGTGAATTCCAGGACAGCCTGGTCTATATGCAAATTCCAGACCAACCAGAGTATGTAGTGAGACCCTGTCAAACAACAAGGAAAGGGATGGGAAGAAGGAGGAGGGAGGGGAGGAGGGAGGAAGGGAGGGAGGGAGGGAGGAAGACTGCACCTGTGATCTCAGCATTTGAGAGGCTGAGGCAGGAGGATTGTTGCAAGTTTGAGGCCAGTAACATCTTTATCCAAAAAGAGAGAGAACCTTGGTGTTGTCCTGTTGATTTTAATGTTAATTTTTAAGCTAATTTGAAACAAAAGACTGTGATATATAGTTTACTGTCAGCAGGAAGTATCCCTAGTTGGGGCAAATTGGTTTTTAACATTTTTTTTTTTTTTTTTTTTTGGTTTTTCGAGACAGGGTTTCTCTGTGTAGCCCTGGCTGTCCTGGAACTCTGTAGACCAGGCTAGCCTCGAACTCTCGAACCCAGAAATCCGCCTGCCTCTGCCTCCCAAGTGCTGGGATTAAAGGCGTGCGCCACCACCGCCCGGCGGTTTTTAACATTTTTTAAACTACCAATAGGCCTCAGTTCTATTATTAATCAAACGTTTGCGTCTCTGCTTCTCCTTCCGGAACTGTGTGTAATGATTTTCCGCACGAACCTGCAGGTGCGTGCGTGTGAGCTCCCCTCTCTCTCTATTCTAGTGGTTCCTGAAAACTTTTCCGATGAAAGAGGAAGGCTGAAAGATGACTTCACCCACAAGTACCTGTATGAGGTGGAGCACAGTCTGTCCTCTGCTGTGCTGGGCTTTGCGGGCAGCAAGATCTACGGCTTCTGCAGCCAGGTGCCCTACATCTGCAGCTACATAATGCCTGTAAAGGTACGCCAGCCTCCGGCCACCAAGACTGGGGTCGCATTAATTAGACGAGATCCCCTTGGCTGCCTTAGCAGATAAATTCAGCCAGCAAACGGCTTCACTGGAGCGGTAGTATCAGCATCGCGTTCAATTAGAGTGGCCGACATTGCTCGCGACTCCATCGTGAATACAACTGAGTGGGCTCGTGTTTATGTCACACACATCATTCTTGTCAGATAAATAGCCAGGTGATACAGCATTTGTTTAGTGCCTTAAAAAAAATATCTGGCATAAGATCTGTTCCATAGATGCCAGGAGCTAATGGGTAGATCATTTCCTGTAAAACTTTACACCTTGGCACTAAGTAACATTGCACAAAACAATTAACCATTGCCTCTGCCATGTTTCTTCATCTCTATTCAAACTCCTGCTGCTCTGTGACACCTCCTGCTGCACATACCAGCCCAGTGCCTTGCCTTTGGATGCTCAGCACCCACTGATGCCTGTCTTCAGATCCCTGGGAGGGGGTGACTCTACCCCAGGCTTCTCTAAATTATTTTTATCTCCTCTCTAGTCTTTTTCTCTGTGTAGCTGGTATTAGACATAGAAATTAAGAAAAAAAAGAGAAGAAGGAGGAGGAGGAGAAGGAGGAGGAGGAAGAGGAGGAGAAGGAGAAGAAGAAGAAGAGATGGTTCATGCCAACGGGATAGTAGAGAAGTGTTGTAGAAGAAGCAACATTCACACTAGTCTTTTAAGGATGGGTCAGATTTGGAACCAGGAAATAGCATGTGCACCCTGAGGGAGGAGTGTGGATGGAGGAAGTGGAACAGGACTGAGTGGAGCTGAGAAGGACCTTTCGGACAGATGGAAGGTCATGTCTGGGTCTTGGAGAAGGGGGTGCACGGGACACACAGTGAGGGGGCTGGCAACTTTTATTTTGATTTGTGCATGATGGTATATGAAAATGATAGCTGGGAACTGAGACTGTCAGCATAGGCTTGAATCTTTAAAGGCAGAATTACATGTAAAGAAGCCATTTCTGGGCTGAGATGTAGAGCAGTGGTTATGAATAGTTGCTTGTCATGCGTAGGAGCCTGGGTTTGATCCCAGCACTGAAAGAAAGAAAGAAAGAAAGAAAGAAAGAAAGAAAGAAAGAAAGAAAGAAAGAAAGAAAGAAAGGGAGAGAGAGAAAGAAAGGAAAGAAAGAAAGAAAGAAAGAAAGAAAGAAAGAAAGAAAGAAAGAAAGAAAGAAAGAAGCAAGGGAGGGAGGGGAAGGAAGAAAGGAAGGAAG